TACAGGAGTTAATACAATCTTAACACGAGACTTCATGCCACCTGAATTCTAGACTTAATGTAACGCTAATTGGAGAGTTAATACAATGTTAATTCGAGAGTTAATATGATATTAATTTGAGAGTTAATACAATGTTAATTCGAGAGTTAATACGATATTAATTCGAGACTTAATAGAATGTTAATTCGAGAGTTAATACAATGTTAATTCGAGACTTAATACAATCATAAGAGAACAGTTAATGCGACCTAATAGGACAAGAAATAATAAAAGCTTTAACAGGTCAACCGCTAATACGACCTTAATTAAACAGATCATAATACAAACTTAAGAAAATAAGAATTAATAGAACCTTAATCCAGCGAGAGTTCACGCAGCCCTAATGCAGAGCCAAAGTAACAGCAGGATAAGAGTTAACGAAACCGTCACGGAACAGACTTGTTGCGGTGTTACCAGAACGGGACCTTCAGAGGGTCAATGTGACGCGACCTTGAGGAAACGCGCCGTCTGTGCACTTTTCCTGGACACGAGTCCACGACCTTCGGAGGATGAGTTAATCCAGCCTCAGCTCAGTAACCGGCGGTGGCGGCTCAGGCAGCATTAACAACACCTGCCACAGCCCAAGTCCTCATAACTGTGACGCTGCTTCTCAAACGAGGACTTTGGCCCTGAGGGGTCCCACCATGTCTGGGGACATTGTCACTGCTGGAGGTGGGGTGGTCCTGGTGTCTAAGGGTGCGACGTCCAGGACGCCACCCTCACAGACAGCCGCCCGGCCCCAGCCGTCAGCACTGTGAGGCCGAGAGGCCCCGATGTGGCAGGGTCAGACCTAATAGGACCAGAATTGCCGAGCAGACGTGACACGGTGCTGTCCCACTGGCCCCCGCCAAACACACCTCGGGGCTGTGCCGTGTGCCGGCGGGGTGCGAGGTGGGGCACCCTCTTCGTTAGTGAGGTCAGACACACGGCGTCACTGCTGTGTCACCAGCGGTTGACACAATGCTGACCACAGGTGTGGTGCCAGCCCCCAGAAACCGTGTTGACACGTGGCACGTCTGCGCGTTCATCTGTCATGGTCACCATCGGCGACGCCCGAGCCCGGGCACCTGTCCCATGGAGCCTGGGCAAGACGGTGAACATGGTGCTCACGGGTCACGGACACTCGGCGCTGGTCGAAGCCATTGCCGACTCGCTTCTCGAGACGGAGAATGAAAAGAACACCACCCAGCCCGTCTTCGGACTCTGAAACCACTGGGTAGGCGGGCGTCCCCGGCCCTCGGATCGGGGACTGGTCCTGGTCCATGTCCTGGTCCCGTTCGGAACCGGGCCGCCCCGCAGGAGGTGAGCGGCGAGCGAAGCTGCATCTGTGTCCGCAGCCGCTGCCCAGCGCCGGCCTCCCCGCCCCAGCTCCGCCTCAGATGCTCGGGCCTTCGGTGCTCGTAGGAGCCCCGGACCCTGGTGCCAGATTGAGGACCACTGGTATAGGGAACACCACCAACATAGTTAAAAAAAAAGGAATGCATGTATTTCTTTGTTTGGAAAATTAAAACGATGCATCTGCAGAGGTGCAGAATGCGAAAGCAGAAAGCAGTGCCCCCTACACCCCGTTCCCCAGACTTTCTGGCCCCGTTAAACCGACAGAGGCCAGCAGTTGGGTTTCGAGGGCTCACACGCGTGTGCACGGGGTTGCTCGTGTGCGTGTGTCCATCCCGTGTGCGGCGGGTCCCTCCTTGGGGACTTTATAGTTCCCGGTAGAGGGTGCTGCTTCCGGGGACCGGATTCCAGCTGGCTCTTCTGCAGAGCGACGCTGTGGGGGGCACGGGACAGGGCACGGGGATGCTGGGTGAACCCCCAAGCCGTCCGTTCCCGTGCCCTGCCTGGGCTGACCAGCCAGGACATGGCCTTGGTGGTCTCTGTGTCCACACAGCCGGCCCCGCATGCACGCAGCCGGCCCCCAGCAAGCCCTCACTGGCACCCTCGCTGGGGACCAGCCTGTGCACTCGGTGGCCTGCGCGCTGGACCCCTGCTCCACGCCAAAGGCGCACTTGTGTGGGACTCGCAGGACGAGGGGCGGCCGCGTCATGGAAACGATGAGTTTTCCCTGTCATAGCAGAGCTGCCCCCCGTGGCATCGGAACCGTTTGCAGGCGCGTAGTTCAGGGGCGCGACAGGCATTCTCGTCACCGTGCAGCCGTCACCGGTGTCACCTCCAGGACCTTCCCGTCCTTCCAAACTGAGACTCCGTCCCCACGACACGCTCACCCCCTCCCCTCCCCAGCCCCCGGCTCCACCAGCTGCTTCCCTCGCGGTGGCTGCGTGACTCTAGGGACCTCGTATGCTTGGAACCCTGCAGTGCTTGTCCCTTAGTGTCTGGCTCATGTCACCGGACACCGTGACCCGAGGGCCATGCAGGCTGTCACGGGGGTCAGAATCCGCCCCCCTTGAAGGCTGAGTGACAGTCCCGTGTGCGGATCCTGTGATGGGCGTGGGGGCCGCTCTGCCCCGGGCTGGGGTGCTGCACGGCGCTGCCGTGGACACGGCCGTGCGGGTGTGTCCTCAGGGGTCGCTTTCTCCTCGTCCGAGGTCCTCTTCGCGGCCTGCGAGCTCGGCGTCTTCGACCTTCTCGCCGAGGCCCCCGGGCCCCTGAGCTCGGCCGCGGTGGCCGCGGGCCTGGGCACCAGCCCCGAGGGCACAGAGCTGCTGCTGGACACCTGCGTGTCGCTGAAGCTGCTTCGCGTGGACACGGGAGGAGGACGCGGTGAGTGGCCGGGCGTGGCGGAGGGCGCGGATCCCCCGGGCGCTGTCAGCACCTGTCTCTGTAAAGGACCGGGAGGAACAGACGCGTATTGGGTGTCATGGGCTGCGAGGTCTTGGTGACAGGTCCCATGGCTGCATATGCAGCCACAGAGCAGCTGGAGACACTACGCAAAAAAACAGGCGTGGCCGGCGACCGATAAAACTTTATTTACAAAAGCGAGCCGGGGGCCAGGTGTGTGGCCGCCTGGAGTTCGTGACGCCTGTCCCAGCAGCTTCCACGTGGCAGTGCGGGCGCTGGATCCAGCGAACAGACAAAACCGTGAAACGACCAGATCGCGGCACAGGAAGTCCTGTCCTGGGGGACGTCCGGCTCCTGCTGCCAGTGCTGGTGGCGGTGAGCAGCGTTGCCGTGGAAGTGACCACGTTTTCTCTTGTTTGCCTCTTTTCAGCTCTGTACGGAAGCACCGAGCTGTCCCGCAGGTACCTGGCGAGGAACAGCCCCACGTCCCAGCACCACATACTGCTGTATCTGGCCAAGACGACCTACCTGTGCTGGGGCCACCTGGCCCAGGCCGTGAGGTGGGCGTGGCGTTGCCCGTGGGCGTCCCGTCCCGGGTGCCTGGGGTGGTTTCTGGGCGTGCAGGGGGCGACACGCCAGGGCCCTTGCATAGTCGAACGCGACACCCCTGGCTTTGGAAATTCCAAAGTTCTCTGCCGTTGACCCGCAGACGTGCCTCAGGATGCACAGGCGGAGACGGCAAGTCCTCTAGGGGACAGTGCTGTGTGCCACGGGCAGAGCTGGGCAGGCGGCTCGGAGCCCAGCAGGGGCCAGAAAGCGAGGCTGCCCGGGTCGTGACTGGTCACTGCACGCCAGGCTCTCAGCCTCGGCGCTGCGGACGTCGGGGCCGACGACTGTGACGTGGGCGTCCTGTGACCCGCAGGGTGCTGACCAGCCTCCTGGTCTCCACCCACCAGGTGCCAGGAGCACCCCCTCCCCGGTGTGACAATAAAACATGTCCCCAGTCTCAAGCATCTCCCGAGAGCTGAATCAGCTGCTGCTGAGAATGAGATAGATGGTTAGATGGATGAGAGACAGACAGACCGAAAGATGGATAACAGAGAGATACATAGATAGATGAGAGATAGACAGGTAGATGTTAATAGATAAGTTTAGCTAGCTAGAAGGATGATGGAGAGTTAGATGGACTGGTAGATACATAGATAGATAAATGATAGATCATTGCATGGCTAGATAGGTATAGATAGATAGATAGATAGATAGATAGATAGATAGATAGATAGATAGAGATAGATTATTTTTTTAGGGAGGGATGGATGGATAGATAGATGATTGATAGATAGATAGATAGATGAGAGATAGATAGATAGATGATAGATAGACAGATAGATGAGAGATAGATTAGATAGATACACAGATAGATGAGAGATGGATAATATACAGACAGATGTTAGGTGGACAGATGGAAGGACGGACGCATGGACGAGAGACGGACGCATAGACGGAGAGACAGGGAAAGAATCGAGTGTCTCGTGCTTTGTCAGGTCCGTCGACTCCCCCTCCTGACGTCGGGGGTCCTGACTCTGCCGCGGGACGTCCTGGGCCTGGCAGGGTGCTGAGCGGCCTTCCTGGCCTCCCCCCAGCAGATGGCAGTAGCCGTCCCCCTCCCCAGTGGTGACAGGCAGAGACGTCCCCAGACCTTCTGCTTGGGCAGACGTCCCTGGGGCGTGCGTGTTGGGGGAGCACGGAATTGCATCCGGTCGGGGAGCAGAACTCGACATTTTCTTTTTTAGTGGCTTTAACGTAAACCACACGCGCATCCTGCGGTAGCTTTGGGATCGCGTTTTACCGTTTATTTTGGGAAAAGCACAGCTCGTCGTTCTGTGTGATGACGATGTGGCTGGGTATTTATTCCCGCATGACGTGCGCCTGGCAGTCACCTCGGCTGAGTGCCTCCCGCGGTCCCAAGGGTGCAGCTGTGGGTGGGGAGAGACTGAGGCCGGTGTGGAGAGTGGCCGAGGGCGGGGACCCAATCTTGGTGCCACGCGGACTCTCGGTGACCCTACGAATGACGCCAGGGCTCCGGGGTCCCGCGTCGCAGGCAGACGTGGTCTCCTGCTGAGAAAACTGTTCTTTCCTCTGTGCGGACTTTAGCTTGTCCGTCTCAGCTGCTCGACCTGTTTCGCCAAAGCCGACGGTGGGTGATACTGTCACTGCATGGTAAAGGTTGACAATATGGCTCAGCGGGTAAAGCTGGGGGGTACGGGAGGGCAGTGGCACACTGGAGAGCCCGTGCCCTTCCGAGGGACCAGCCTTCGTCAGCTCAAGTGTCGATGGGGACACGGCTGCCAGCGACTTTTGTGTTTTCCGCGAAGCAGCACATCCAGATTTTTGAGTGACATCTCCCAAAGTTTGGAGGCTGGAATTCATTCCGTCAAAGACATAAATTGAGAGCGCCGAAGCACGCATAATAACGGCTGACAGCCGAGGTCTCCGAGGTCTCGTTGGACCCTCAGGCTCCACCTCCTCGTCCCCGGTGCACAGGGAGCTAGTTCTTGGACAATGGAAAGTGACACTCGTCCCCTCGAGGTGGCCTCCTGCGGTGTTTCTGGGCTCCAAGTTCTCCTTCGTGTGTGATTTCTTGTCCCCTGAAGGTCCCGTGGGGAAGAGGTGGCCCCGGGGTTAAAGGCAGGGGTCATCCAACAGCATACGAGAAAGGTGTGGGGCTGACTGGGGGGTGGCAGTCAAGGATGGAAGGAAACGAGCCACAGGGGCACAGTTCTGCCAGATACCAGGGGCTGTCCCAGGTGGCAGAGGATGACCAAGTATCCTCTACGTCAGCTGCAGGGGAGGAGGGTAAATAGAACCTGTGTGGATGAACCGACTCTGCAGCTGCAGGTAGACCAGTGGGCTCTCCAACTATAGGTAGACCAGGTAGCTGTCCAGCTGCAGGTAGACCAGTGACTCTACCTGCAGCTAAACCAGCCAGCCCTCCAAGTATAGGTAGATCAGTTAGCCCTCAAAATATAGGTAGACCAGGCAGCCTTCCATTTGTAGACTGACCAGTTAACGCTTTACCTGTAGGTAAACCAGCCATCCCTGTACGTATAGGTAGACCAGTTAGCACCCCAGCTACAGGTAGACCAGTCAACTCGTTAGCTGTAGGTAGACCAGCTAGCCTTCCACCTGCAGGTATGCCAGTCAGCTTTCCAGCTGTATGTAGACCTGCCAGCCCCTACCTGCGGGTAGACCAGTGGGCTCACCAGCTATAGGTAGACCAGCCAGCCCTGTAGCAACAGGTAGACTAGTTGGTCTTCTAGCTGCAGGTTGATTAACTGGTCTTTTAGCTATAGGTAGACCAGCCGGCCCTCCAGCTGTAGGTAGACCAGTGGGCTCACCAGCCATAGGTAGACCAGCCAACCCTGTAGCCATGGGTAGACTAGGTGGCCCTTTAGCTGTAGGTAGACCAGCCGGCCCTCCAGCTGCAGGTAGACCAGTGGCCTCTGCAGTTGTGGGTAGATCCGCTGACCCTGCAATTATAAGGCGCTTCGTCTCCTTAGATGCTGGGCGATGCGTCATTCCAGACTGTGGTGTCCGCAGCTGGCTCAGCGCTTTGCCTCTCTTTAGATTTTGCCGTGAAATCGCATCCCTTCGTGGCTCATCTCAGAGCATCGTGCTCGTGGGGACCTTGCAGCTCCAAACACGTGTTGACTTCTCGCTAGAAAGGAAGAGGCGTGAGTGCGTCCGGTCGCTCGGTTTCGCTTCCGGCCCGTTGCACCGGCGACTTGAGGGGCGGGCCCGTGCCCCGCCGTGCGCGCTCGTCGCGGTTCACGGAACGTGTCAGAGCTGAGTGACAGCTGCCTCCCTGTTTGCAGGGACGGGAAGAACCAGTACGTGCGGGCCTTCGGGGTCCCCTCGGAAGAGGTCTTCGCGGCCATCTACAGGTAACGCCCAGCACCCAGCCTGGCAGAATCACGCGTGTCTTTAAAATACTTACCAGATACAGGGGAACCGAAGGATGCGGTATCCACGGTAAAACAGACAGACACACAGAACAAGGCGGACGTGGCTGTTCTAAAGTGTGG